ATTTACAGTATAAATTGTCATGCTACTTAAACAGACATCACTAAAATTATATGTATGAGGTTGTAAATATGCATAAGTTATTAGAGGCAAATAGCAGAACTTATATTTATATACAACTTGTACTAATGATGTCATTGAGAAGGAACTGAAGTTTGGGATTTACTTTATTCATATTACTGAAGAGTCAAGCTTGAATCTGTGCAGTCGCATAATAGAAAACCACCTATCTGTAGAAGGAGGTATTTATAAAGTTTTCTTATTTTGGTCTGATGTATTATGTGATTAGTTGTGCTTGACTTACAGGGACTTAGTGTTAAGTACATTGCTGCATATAATAGTTATAAACGTTGTAGTTTTTCTATCTTTGAATGTAGATACTTAGTTTTAATTTTAAAAGTTTCACTGTAAAAACAAAATTTCATCTAATATTTTATATTTTACTGAAGTTTTAATGTACAGCTCTGAGATAACAGTGAAATGGAAAACTCTTTTAGTGGAAGTTATAATAAATATATCTGAGAAATAAAAAAAAGAAATTTCTAGAAGGCCAAATAAGAAGCTTCTCAGACAAAAGAAGTCTAAAAGAATACACCTCCATTAAACCAGCTCTGCAAGAGATGCTAAAGGGACTGCTTTAAGAAAGGAAAAGAGAGAGTGAGAGAGGAACACATGTACATAAAAAGGCAATGAATAAGTATCTATCAATAATAACCTTAAACGTAAATGGATTAAATGCTCCAATCAAAAGACATAGAATAGCTGAATGGATAAGAAAACATGACCCACACATATGCTGCCTACAAGAGACCCACCTCAGGATAAAGATCTGCACAGGCTGAAAGTGAAGGGCTGGAAACAGATTTTCCAAGCAAATGGACAGGAAAAAAAAGCTGGGGTAGCAATATTCATATCTGACAAAATAGACTTCCAAAAAAGGACCATAAAGAGAGACCCAGAAGGTCATTTCATAATTCTCAAGGGAAGAATCCACCAACAAGACATAAATATTGTAAATATATATGCACCCAACATAGGAGCACCCAAAGACATAAAGAAAATCTTAGAGGACTTCAAGAAAGATATGGACAGCAACACAATTATTGTGGGGGATTTTAACACCCCCCCTATCAAAAATGGACAGATCTTCCAAACAAAATATCAACAAAGATATTGTGGCATTGAACAATACCCTTGATGAAATGGGCTTTACTGATATATACAGAGCCCTCCATCCCAAAGAAGCTAAATACACATTTTTTTCAAATGTACATGGAACATTTTCAAAGATTGACCACATGATAGGACACAAAACAAGCCTCAAGAATTTCAAGAAAATTGAAATAATACCAAGCATTTTCTCAGACCACAAGGGACTGAAACTAGAAACCAACCCCAAGGAAAAAACCCAAAACACTCAAAATCATGGAGATTAAATAGCATGCTATTAAACAATGAGTGGGTCAAGAGTGATATTAGGGAAGAAATCAAAAGGTTTCTGGAAACAAATGAAAATGAACTCACAACAACCCAAAACTTATGGGACACAGCCAAGGCAGTCCTGAGAGGGAAGTTCATAGCGATACAGGCCCACCTAAAAAACTTAGAAACATTTCAAACAAACAACCTAACCCTACGTCTACAAGAACTTGAGGAACAACAACAAAGACAGCCCAGAGCAAGCAGAAGGAAGGAAATAACCAAGATCAGAGCAGAATTAAATGACATAGAGACTAAAAGCACAATTCTAAAGATCAATGAATCCAAGAGCTGGTTCTTTGAAAAGATAAACAAAATCGACAAGCCTTTAAGCAGACTCATCAAGAAAAAAAGAGAGAAAACCCAAATAAACACAATCAGAAATGAAAGAGGAGAGATTACAACAGATACCACAGAAATACAAAGGATTGTAAAAAATTACTACAAAGAGCTGTATGCCAAGATATTTGAAAACCTAGATGAAATGGACATATTTCTAGAAAAATATAATCTTCCAAAACTCAATGGAAAAGAAGCAGAAAGCCTGAACAAACCAATAACAGCAAAAGAAATTGAAGCAGTAATCAAAAAACTCCCAACACACAAAAGCCCTGGACTAGATGGTTTCACAGGAGAATTCTACAAAGCATTTAAGAAAGAGCTAACCTCTATCCTTCACAGACTATTTCAAAAAATCCAAAAAGATGGAAGACTCCCAAACTCTTTTTATGAGGCCAACATCATCCTAATTCCAAAACAAGATAAAGATACAACAAAGAAAGAAAACTTCAGGCCAATATCGCTGATGAACATTGACGCTAAAATCCTCAACAAGATACTGGCAAACCACATCCAACATTACATTAAGAAGGTAGTACACCATGACCAAGTGGGATTCATTCCAGGGATGCAAGGATGGTTCAATATTCGCAAATCAGTAAATGTAATACATCACATAAACAAAAGCAAAGACAAAACCACATGATCATATCAATAGATGCAGAAAAAGCATTTGATAAGGTACAGCACCCATTTATGATAAAAACACTCAGCAAAGTGGGAATAGAGGGAGCATTTCTCAACATAATAAAGGCCATATATGAGAAACCTACAGCCAACATTATACTCAATGGGCAAAAATCAAAATCTTTTCCACTAAGAACAGGAACAAGACAAGGATGTCCACTTTCACCACTTCTATTCAATATAGTACTGGAAGTTTTAGCCACAGCGATCAAACAAGAAAAAGAAATAAAAGGCATCCAAATCGGAAAGGAGGAAACAAGACTGTCACTGTTTGCAGATGACATGATAGTGTACATAGAAAATCCTATAGACTCCACCAAAAAACCGCTTGACCTAATAAATGAATTTGGCAAAACAGCGGGATACAAAGTCAATATGCAGAAATCAAAGGCATTTCTATACACCAACAATGAAACAGCAGAAGCAGAAATCAAGAAAAAAATCCCATTTGAAATAGCAAAAAGAAAAATAAAATACCTAGGAATAAACCTAACCAAAGAGGTAAAAGACCTGTATTCAGAAAACTACATAACACTGAGGAGAGCAATCAAGGAAGACACAAACAAATGGAAACATATACCGTGTTCATGGATTGGAAGAATTAATATCATCAAAATGTCCATACTACCAAAAGCAATTTACACATTCAATGAAATACCTATTAAAGTACCCATGGCTTATTTCACAGATATAGAACACACACTTCAACAATTTATATGGAACCATAAATGACCCCAAATAGCTGCTGCAATTTTGAGAAAGAAGAGTAAAGTAGGGATCACAATACCTGACACTAAACTATACTACAAGGCCACTGTAATCAAAACAGCCTGGTACTGGCATAAAAACAGGCACATGGACCAATGGAACAGAACAGAGAGCCCAGAAATAAACCCACATCTCTACGGTCAATTAATATTTGACAAAGGAGGCAGCAACATAAAATGGAATAAAAATAGCCTCTTCAACAAATGGTGTTGAGAGAACTGGACAGCTACGTGCAAAAAAATGAAACTCGAGCACCAACTTACACCTTATACAAAAATAAATTCAAGGTGGATAAAAGACTTAAATATAAACCATGACACCATTAAAGTCCTAGAGGAGAACATAGGCAGGAAAATCTCAGATATTTCACACAGAAACTTTTTTGCTGACATGTCTCCTAGAGCAAGAGACATAAAGGAAAGAATAAACAAATGGGACCTCATCAAAATAAAAAGCTTTTGTACAGCTAAAGAAAACAGTATCAAAATAAAAAGAGAATCAACTGTATGGGAAAACATATTTGCCAATGATACCTCAGACAAGGGTTTAATCTCCAAAATATATAAAGAACTTACACGACTCCACTCTAAGAAGACAAGTAACCCAATTTAAAAAATGGGCAAAGGACTTGAACAGACACTTCTCCAAGGAGGACATACAGAAAATCCAAAGACACATGAAACGATGTTCAATATCACTAGCTATCAGAGAGATGCAGATTAAAACCACAATGAGATACCACTTCACACCAGTCAGAATGGCCATCATAAACAAAGCAAGAAACAACAAGTTTTGGAGAGGTTGTGGAGAAAAGGGGTCCCTATTGCACTGTTGGTGGGACTTCAGACTGGTACAACCACTATGGAATGCAGTATGGAACTTCCTCAGAAAACTAAAAATGGATCTGCCTTTTGACCCTGCAATTCCACTGCTGCGACTCTATCCTAAGAACACTGAAACACCAATACAAAAGAACATTTGCACCCCGATGTTCACAGCAGCACAATTTACAATAGCTAAGTGCTGGAAGCAACCTAGATGCCCATCAGTAAATGAATGGATCAAAAAACTATGGTACATTTACACAATGGAATTCTATGCAGCAGAAAGAAAGAAGGAGCTCCTACCCTTTGCAACAGCGTGGATGGAGCTGGAAAGCATTATGCTAAGTGAAACAAGCCAGGCAGTGAAAGACAAATACCACATGATATCACCTTTAACAGGAACCTAAACAACAAAACAAAGAAACAAGCAAAATATAACCAAAGACACTGAAATAGGGGGCAGACCGACCATGACCAGAGGGGAGAGAAGAGGGAATTTCAGGGGGGAATGGGTAGGGTTTACAGGAACAAATTTGGAGGACACATGGACAAAAACTAGGAGTGGGGGGGTTGGGTGGGTGGGCTGGAATGGGAGTAAGTGGGAGAAAACTGTACCTGAACAATGATAAAAATAAAATTAAAAAAAGAAATTTCTTACACTATTTTGTAAAGGTAGTTTGCTTACATGAAAAAATATTATAATTTTATGAACTTTCTTGTATGTTTCACAAACATGCACACATAAATTTTTGTGATGAGTTAAAGGTGTTTTGAAGGATACTTTATTGAAGCTTATACCCATTAATAAATGTAGTGGGTACTACAAAATTTAATTCCATCAGTTTGTTTTCTTCCAAAAGACACATGGTTGCCCACTTACTCTGTTTCTTTCAACCAGCACCTTAGCTACCACAGAAATGACAGAATGGCCTGTCTTAGCTTCCTGTTACCCCAAATCAGGATGAATGAGTGGCTTGCAGAATACAGGAGACCAAGGACCTGAAAAAACATGCCAACTAAGTTGTTCTGCCAAGCATTCCACTTTGCGATGATTTGAGCAAGGAAGTAAATAAAAAATAGCAAGAGAAAGGAGATGACAGAGCCATGACAGTTTGCATAGGTCTTACGTGGACCTTGGTGCTGGCAACTTGGGATCCTTTGCCACTGAGCTGCATCTTCTTGAGATGTTTCCACAAGGAAAAGAATAACAGCAGTAAAGCCATCAAGGACATGGTAAATGGTACGACATGTACAATGGTGAACACAGTCATATTTGAAAGGCACACAATGTCCTCCATGATGATCACCAAAGTGAGGTTTCCTTCACATGCACGCATCTGCATTTTTTCATCTATGCTCATTACAGCAAGATGACAAACCAAGAAGACCAAAGTGCCCAACAATATCATGAGAACCACTCTTTTAGCTTTCCATTTTAGGTGAAGAAAGAAAAGACTGGAGAAATTGGCTATCTTGAGCAAATAAAGTATGCTGAGATTAGCAGAAAGCCAGAGGCTAAACTGGTTGCTCACTATCCAGGTAATATAAGCAAAAGTACTTACTATTGAACAATAGAAAGCTGAATTATACATAGTTGCATACCAATTTAATAATATTACCCAGAGCAAAGCAATCCTGGAGACTGCCAGGGCAGTGAGAATTCCATCAGCACAATAGATCTTCTGACCCTTGACCCAGTCAATGCAGCTCACCAGGGCTATGAAGACATTGGCAAAATTTCCTACAACAAAGTCTGCTATCACTAGGATAGAAAGAATGCTCGGTAATAAACTTATCATGTCTACAAAATAAGACCTGGTCTAATATCACTGGTCATGATTCCTTTAATATTCTGACCTTAAGTTCTAGTTGCAGCTGATATTGAATGGGTATAAAATATTTGGGCTTTTTTCAATTCTATGACCAATGTCAAGCATGGAAGCACCATAGCATGCTAATAAGAGAGCACAATGCTTTCTTTATGAAAAACATTTTTATGCCCACAGAGCTCAAATTAACTATCATTCAAATGTTTTATGCCCTTACTCTAGGCTGCAATATTTCCTAACTGATGTCGTTGTGAAAGCTGAATTCTCATTTGCTATCATGAAAATATAGACATATCCTCTTTCATCATTTTGCAATTTTCTTTGTTTATCCTCTCCATGATTTGTGTTCATCAACTTTGTCCTTAGTGAAATTGAACATCCCAATATTTTGAATACACAGTAAATGCTGACTTGTTCAATAGAGGTTGGTCATCGATAGGATCATCATCACTATGGAATTTTTATAAATTTTTATTGAATTTATTGGGGTGAAATTGGTTAATAAAATGGTATATGTTTCAAGTGTACAATTCTGTAATACATCATCTGTGTATTGTGTGTTCCCAACCAAAGACAGTTTCCTTCTGTCACAATTTATCCTTTTCTCTTTTTTTGTTTTTAATGTCAGATTTATGAGGAAAGAATCCTAGCCTTTTCTATTTAAATCATCAAGGTTTTCTTGAGTACCCCAAGGAGGCCAATACTCACAAATGGCTGGTTGTTGACAACTAAACTTGAACTATATTCTGTTTATTTATAAACACATAAGCACACAAAAACATACACACACAAACATCTGAGTGATGGAAGGAACTATTGTCCCATAGTTTCCAAAATGAAAAATGAGATGCAAAGAGGTCATCTAGATTTAAATCCACCTTTTATTTCATTATTTCATTATTAATTGATATCAAATATATCTCTCATGTTAGGTCTCTGAAGATAGTGCTCTTTTAAGTCTATTTAATACTTAAAATAATTATCTAATTAAAATGTTCAGAAGTGTTATAAGTATTCTTGGAAAAATTAAAAGAACGTGGTTTCCATTGGAGAGTCTAGACTTCTCTGTATATGAAAAATTCAGTTTTGTTTTCTCAGATTGATTCATTTCTAACTACTTAATATTTTATTATAAATACATTTTAAAATCATTTATTGTTTAAGTGTTTATATTATAATTGTTTTAAAGGACAATCTTAGAGCTGGACTAATAGGAAGGAAAATACAGATTATCTGCTTTGTCTATCACTGATCATGGACTTTCTTTTAAAACTACTCTCTGTCTCAGTATAATCACCAGTAAACTATCAGATAATGATGATGAGCTTCCAGTGGTCTTTGTGAAATATAAAGTATACTATTTGAGTAGGATGCTTTCAGTTGTGCCTGTCTGGTACTGACAGCAGGTGTGGAGGATTGTTATTCATTTGATTCCCAAGCTAAGGTGAATAAATTGCCAAAATTATGTTTTAACTGTATCAAAGATCAGTGCAAGGAAAGAGGACCAGTGAGCTAAAATCTAGGTGAAAGGGGAGTCTTTAGAGGAATAGTTAGATGATCAATAGATTCAATTGCAATCAATATCAAATCCCAGAAGGCTATTTTGTGGAAAGTGAAATCATATTTAAAATGCTTGTGTAAATTCAAAGTTGTGTCAATAACCAAAGGACTTTTTTAAAAGAACAAAGTTGGAGGACTACAGTTCCTGATATCAAAGATTGCTACAATGCTGTGTTAAACACCGTAGTGTCTTACCTGAATAAGGATAGCACATTTACATAGTGATTTCCAAACTTTTTGAATCTCATGGCACACATAAATTAATTACTCCAATCATGCAGCACACCAAAAATATATTAATTGCCAATCTGATAAAATAGCTTTGGTTTTTGTTTATTCACTCCAGAAGGCTTATTGTGTTCACTGCTTTAATTGTCAATAGGATGGAAAAGAGATCAGTGGTTTTGACTAAGTAGTCAGGATATTGCATGTTTAAAAAATTCTACACTGCCCTGACTGTTGTGACTCACTGGATTGAGTGCCGGCCTATGAACCAAAGGGTCACTGGTTTAATTCCCAGTCAGGGCAAATGCCTGGATTGTAGGCCAGGTTCCCAATAGAGGGCATGCAAGAGGCAACCACACATTTATGTTCTCTCCATTTCTTCCACAATTCCCTCTCTCTAAAAAGAAAAATTCCACACTGGCAAAAAATCGCTGATATACATCAATGAAACACAATTGAAGTTCAGATATTAACACTCCCTAGTATAGTCATATGATTTTTTAAAAGGTTCCATGTGAATTCAATGGGGAAATGATTTCAACAAATGATGCTTGCAAAACTGAATATCCACATTCATAAAGTTAAATTTATCCCCTTGTTTTATACCATATACAAAAAATAACTCAAAATTGACCAGAGACCCAAATGGAAAATCTAAACCAATAATACTTTAAAATAAAACAGTTACATTTTTTGTAAACTTGGATTATATCAAACTATTAGAAATAGTAACAAAAGCATGATGCATAAAATTTTTAAACAAAAATTGAAAACTTTGGCTCTGTGAAATAAATATCTGATTTCAAGAATGTAGTGCTATAGTAATTAAGTCTATGTGATATTATTGTTTACTTATATAAATCTATAGATCAATAGATAAAACAGAATGTTGAATAGACCTACACATGTCTGATCAGTTCATTTTCAACAGAAAAACTAAAACAATTTAATGGGAAATAAAATTCTCTTCAATAAGTGATGCTGAAAAGGTGAATAAAAGTATAACAAGTGAACTTCAGTTCTTATTTCATGACAAAAAATAAAATTTATTTGAGGTGTTCATAAACCTAAATATAAAAGAAAAGAAAATAAAGCTTCTAGAAAAAAAGTATAATATGTTTGTGAACTGAGGATAGGCAACAATTTCTTACTTACTATGACTAAAGAAAATATCAACAAAATGGAATAGGAACCAACCACATGAGAAAACATACATGCCAATGATACTTCACAGAAGGGTTTGATCTCCAAAACATATAGAGAACTCACACAACTCCACCCAAGAAGACAAACAATCCAATTAAAAAATGGGCAAAGGAGCTGGAGAGGCACTTCTCCAAGGAGGACATATAGAGGGCCACATGAAAAAATGTTCAATATCATTAGCCATTTGGGAGATGCAAATTAAAATCACAATGAGATGCCACTTATCACCACTCAGAATGGCAATCATTAACAAATCAATAAAACAACAAGTGCTGGTGAGGATTAAGAGAAAAGGGAATTCTAGTGCATTATTGGTGGGAATGCAGACTGGTGCAGCCACTATAGGAAACTGTGGAATTTCCTCAAAAAACTAAAGATGTATTTGGTTTTCAATCCAGCGATCCCACTGTGGGGACTATATCTAAGAATCCTGAAACACCAATTCAAAAGAATCTATGCACCTCAATATTCAAGCAGCATTATTTATAATAGCCAAGTGCTGGAACTGGCCTAAGTGCCCATCAGTAAACGAGTAGATCAGAAAAAAATGGCACATTTACATAATGGAATACTACACAGCAGAAAGAAGGAACTCCTGCCCATAGCAACAGCATAGATGGATATGGAAAGCATTACACTAAGTGAAATAAGCCAGTTGGTGAAAGACAAATACCATATGATCTCACCCATAAATGGAACCTAATCAACAAAACAAACAAGCAAGCAAAATATAACCAGAAACATTGAAATAAAGAAGAAACTGGCAGTAACTAGAAGGGAGGGAGAGGGATAATGGGGAAAAACAGAGGACAGTCCATAAGGAACATGTATAAAACATATGGACAAAGCCAAAGGTAGTAGGTTTGAAGATGAGAGGCAGGAATGAGTGGGGTGGGCGACTGTGGTGGGGTGAAAATGGAGACAACTGTACTTGAAAAACAATAAAATTTTAACAATAAAATAAAATGAATAAAAATAATAAACAAATGCAGCAAACAAAGAGAAGAGAAACAGATTTATAGATATGGAAAACATTGTGATGGATGGACATTCAGGAATGGGCTCTGGGGAAATGGGGTAAAAGGTGAAGGGATTAAGAAATAGCACAATTTACAATAGTCAAGTGCTGGAAGCAACCTAATGTCCATCAGTAAATGAGTGGATCAAAAAACTGTGATGCATTTACACAATGGAATACTATGCAGCAGAAGGAAGAAGGAACTCCTGTCCTTTACGACAACATGGATTGAACTGGAGAGCATTATGCTAAGTGAAATAAGCCAGGCAGTGAAAGACAAATACTGTATGATCTCACCTATAAGTGGAACCTAATCAACAAACAAATAAGTGAACAAAATAGAACCAGAGACATTGAAATTAAGAACAAACTGACAGTAACCCGAGGGCAGTTTCAAGGGAATAATGGATGGGGGAGAAGAAGGCAGGGTTGTCAAGGAATGTGTATAAAGGACACATGGGCAAAGTCAAAGGGAGGTAGGACTGAGGGTGGGAAGTGGGGATGGTTGAGGTAGGGGGGAAGTTGTGAGAGGAAAATGGAGACAACTGTACCTGAACAGAAATTTTAAAAAGAAGTACAAATTGGTAGTTACAGAATAGGCAGGGGGACGTTTAGAGCAAATATAGAAAAAGGAGTTGCTAAAGAATTTATATGAATGACCCATGGATATGAACAATGGTGTGGGGATTGCCTGAGTGAGAGGGTGTGGCTGAGTGGAAGGTGGCAAAGGGGGAAAACTTGGTAAAACTGTAATAGCATAATCAATAAAAAATAATTTAAAAACTAAAAATAAAAACAAAAAAAGAAGTAAGCAGCCAAGTTATGAATTCTCTATGCGGACAGCTGCTAATGAATTCTAGCAACCAATTGTGTGAGCTTGGAAGTGAATTTTTCTCCAGTCAAGCCTGACGATGAGAAGGCAGTGCAATGAAAACTCTGATGGCTGCTTCGGAAGGCTCTG